TCATCTTTGGATCACACAAGCTGATGTGCTTCTTCTGTGTGGATAGTTGACTCCTCTGTTAAATGGCTGCTTGTTTGAAGACAAGTCTTTAAGGCTGCAGACACTATTCTGATTGATAGCCGACCACCATCTACTTTCTTCACAACACTTTGCTGTAGCCCCCTTATCTCCAGTGATCATTTCATGAAAGTGAGTTTCCAGCAGGGCCATGTTATCAGAACTAACTAACAACACAAATTTAAACTATTTTTGCTACTCCAACAAAGGAAGATGCAGCAAACAGAACACAAGAACAGGAAAAAGAGAACCTCCAGAAAATGGGGGGTGAGGGGCGGAAGAGTTATTTGAAATTCAAATGATGGCAGCAGAAGTAAAAAACCTTAGAAGATAAAATTAAGGAAATGTCTTGGAAACTAGAAAAAAAATGACAAAGAGATGGAAAGGAGGACACAAAAGAAAGTCAGAGGACCAATCCAGGGGTTCTAGAAAGGGAGAAAGAAGACAACAGAAGGAAGCAAATCATCAGAAAGGATTGTGGAAAGTTTTCCAGAACCCAGAGATAAGCTTCCAGACTGAAAGCCCCACCATGTATCAGGACAAAGATGAAACAAACAGAACCCAAGCACAGCATTGAGAAGTGTCCGGACATGAGGGGAAATGGGTTTCACTACCTTCCAGGTTATAAAGATTCAGAAATCCTACATTGGCATATGCAAAGGGAACACCCATCTTCTTGCTCTGAATGCAATTTCAAGGTACAACAAGTATGTAGAGGGTAAAGGGTCTTAAAACTAGAACCCCTGAAATAAATTGATGAAGCAGAGAGTAAGCGTTTGAGTTAGTTAAGGTCTAGATTTGAGGCAGATTCTTGGAATGCCAGAAGCTATAGTGAGGGAATGATGTGGGTTTGAGGAGTATGAAAGCTCTTGAAGGAGCAACAGGGAGAAATAATACTCTAAAGAAGCCATAAGTGATTCATTCAGCCAGCTTGTATTTTATGAGTAGGGAACACTTTCAAAGCACTATTGTGTTTAGGATGTCTTTTTGGCTGCTGTCAGTCCTGACTCATGGTGCCCCCATGTGTTACAAAGGAGTGCTGCTCCATTGGGCTTTCTTTTCTTTTTTCTTTAATGATTTGATTGGGGGCTCATACAACTAATCATATTTCATACATACATCCATTGTGCCAAGCACATTTCTACATTTGTTGCCATCATCATTTTCAAAACATTTTCTTTCTACTTGAGCCCTTGGTATCAGCTCCTCATTTTTAAATTCTCTCCCTCTTCCCCCTCCCTCCCTCCCTCATGAACCCTTGATAATTTATCAATTATTATTACTTTTTCATGTCTTACACTGACCGATGTCTCCCTTCACTCACTTTTCTGTTGTCCATCCTCCTAGGAGGGGGTTATAGTAGATCATTGTGATCAGTTCCCCCTACCTCCCTCCACTTTCCCCTTACCCTCCTGGTATCAATACTCTCAATATTGGTCCGAAGGAGTTTATCTGTGCTAGATTCCATGTGCTTCCAGCTCTTATCTGTACCCGTGTACATGCTCT